AAAAAGAAATTTTAACTCTTTTTGCCGCTCCGATATACAAAATTATTTATAGTTCTTCAAGAATACAAAAAAAAATGCTTGCGGTGAAACTTTCCTTTCATTTTCAGCGTGTGTCAATAAGAAAAACAATTAAAGCACTAATGCTTTGACAAGTCAGCTGGCCGCGAGAGCTCATTCAGCTGCTCTCGCGTGTTCTTTACCAATATTTGAACTATTGGCAACTGATAATAATTCATACATATTTTTTTGCTTTATTTTTTGTTTTTTGGGTTTTTTGTAACTTACCATTATTGTTTTGCTTAACATCCGGGGACTTTCAATCATACACGCTTTTTGAACAGCGTTTGAACTACTTTCATGGGGAAATTCATCATAAAAGCTCGTGTCAAGATGTTTTTAAGGTATGACAAGATGGAAGATCGGCGTTGAGGGAAAAATATTTATTTCCTTGTAAAAAAAATTCTCTTACTGGGCTAACTTAAATATTTGCCTTCAAGTCTGGCGCAAAATATGCAACAAAAACTGTACTTTTTAAAATTTTCCCAATTAGCGGAAAACCGCGTTGGCAAACAAAGAAAGTTAGTAGAAACAAGAGAATGAATTTCTTGCCGTTATGGACGTTAGATTTAAACCACGATATGATAATTACAATCTTTCCGAAAGCTAAATGTCGGGAGAAATCTTTCAACCACATCTATTTCATAAAATGAAAACGATAACATGTGGATTATCTTATGTTTGTTCATATCTTGCAGCTTCGATATTATAATTAAGCATCACAAGACTTAAACATGTGTCTGTCGAATACGAATTGCTTCTATTACTGGACATTTTTTGGCAGCTATTAATAAAATATATAACAAGGTGCTCTCCGAGAAACCATTAAACACCATATAAGGAGAGAGTTTGCACCATAACAACTTGGCCATAAATATATTTAATAAAATGAAGTAATTTAAGGCGAAATACTGGCAAACTTGCCTCATATAAGGCCGGCTTTTTATTTCATTCATTTATTTTCCGTCCTGTCTCTCAAACTTATTGATTGTTACTTCCTCGTGTTCGGCATTTACGTGATTGTTGAGGGATAATTTCTTGGAGCCAAACAACCGCAGTGTATTTCTGTTGGGTGTTGACGGTGGGGACTCGCAAAATAACTAGCTGTTTCCGTTTTTCCCAGTAGCAGTCATTAGCAGGGAAATTCAAAAAGTGAATAAAATTCTCATGAACCATGTCGAATGTGCCTAAGCTAATCAGAAACATTAAAATGATGAAAATAAGATTAAAAAGAAAAGAATTATTTTCTTACTCCTGGATTTCCACAGTTAGTGTATTTGATGCTGGGCCAGTACTACTAAATAACAGATACGATCGATATTTGGGTTTTATAACCGAACATGATTTACTGTTCTACTGCAAAATATCGGCTGTTATGATAACGTTCGATACTCCTCACGTGCGTAATGCATTGTCGAAAAAGTTTTGGTTTTGAACTGTTAGACGATATGAGTAGCTAAGAAAATTGGCGCCAGTTTCTCATCCAATCAGTAGTTCATCCAAAATCCCGAGAGTAATCGCTGACTAACCTGTAGGCTTTTCCCGCGCTCTAGTGTCAGCTTCAAGTGTTTGCTTAAAGTCGTTCTGATTGGATCATTGGTGGGAATTGTTCGTGTTAGCGTTGTGATTGGCCAATGGAGTGATTATTTTGGCTCCGGCTTGGATTGCGAACCAACATAAATACGCCGGAAAACAGGCGTTTACCTACACAGTATATTGAGTATATATATATATCTATATATCTCTTTCTCAACCCTTTAACTTTAATAAATAGTAGTTTATTTATAAAGCTTCCTTCAGTTAAGGTTTCAAATTCACCTCCTGATTTTGTGTTATCCGCCTTTCTTGGGTGTGGGGAAGAGCCGTCGAGAAAGCCCTAGCTTTTTCGGTTTCCGTCGGACGTCAAAAATAGGCACAAGAACAAGTGAGAGACTTGTATTTTTAACGCAATATACTGTCCCCTGAGCGAACAGTATCGAGCAAGTCGTTGGCGCTTACTCTGGCAGCTAATTTTAGGTCAGCCTGCCAAATATAGCCCGCCTTTTAAGAATGGCGCTAAATGGAATGAAAAAGCGCTTACATTTTTCGTAACGTTCTTCATTATTACATAAAAACGATGAGCCAGTATAATAATACCAGATCATGAAAGATACCATCAATAGTTGAGTTTTGCCGGATCGAATTTAATAACATCCCTATATTAGTCCAGGATAAGTGTAAAAATTGGCACTTGATCTTGTCATCAGTGAGACAGAACAACTCTTACTTCCTCTGGATCGAAAATTTATGTGGCGTGGTTTAAGATGGTAAACAACATGTGACAACACGTCACGTTTTCTGTCACGTGTTTTTAAGCCCAAACCTGCGATACNATTAGTCCAGGATAAGTGTAAAAATTGGCACTTGATCTTGTCATCAGTGAGACAGAACAACTCTTACTTCCTCTGGATCGAAAATTTATGTGGCGTGGTTTAAGATGGTAAACAACATGTGACAACACGTCACGTTTTCTGTCACGTGTTTTTAAGCCCAAACCTGCGATACTCTCAGGATGCCCAAAATAACCAGCCAATCGCGTTAGTCTAACATGAAAAAGAAAAATTGCAGCAACTGAATATTGCAGAAGCTAAGAAGTACCAATTATGTCAGGAGCCCATCAAGGGCTCCTGATCATGTACAAAACAACGGTGAAGTTACCAAACGGTAGGCGGATAAATAATTATTAATTCATGCTTTTAATAGCTATATAGTTCTAAATATTATTTCTTTCTGGCTAATCTTACCATTTGTAAACAATGTAGGATTCCTGTGCTAGGAGTCTAAGGTTAAGTTGTAAAAGTCCGCAAGGGGTTTTTCACTTCAGTAACCCATCTTCCAACCCAAATAGCCATCTAAATATTTTTCAGCAATTTGTATTGTAATTGCTTATGCCGTGAATAATTAATCACTCTATCAATCAATCAATCAATCAAGTTTTCATTGTGCATAACGCTTCGCGCGCTAGCTCTTCGTCAGACGTCAGAATCCCAAACTCTTCTAGTTCTTCTGCTTAATAAATGCTCTTCTATGGACTGATTCACTCTGGCGAAGGGCCGGAAGGCTAGCGCGTGAGACTCGCAGTGGCCATATCAACGAAATCTTTGCACTGATCGAAAAGAAGTCAAAAGGCACGCCTGCTTATCTGGTCGCCGTCTGAGAGTTTTATCCTGGTTTTCATTTGTCGGGAAAATCCTAGACGATGGGGGATTTTACTGCTTCCCGTCTGTCCCAGATTTTGCAGACTAATGAAAACTCGAAATCGTAAATATCCCCGATCGTCTGGATGGACGGAGACAAATCTGGAGAATCGGAAGCGTTTCTATTTTCCCGACGCGTCCCAGATTTCTGCGATGGTCGGTGATCATTCCCGACAAATGAAAACTCAAATTTGTATCGTCGGGGACGTCGGCGATGGATTTCGCTCATCACCAATCCCCCAAATTGCTGGGCTCCAGTTCCCCCATCACGCAAGTTTCAATTTTTGGCGCACTTTCCATTTCCGGCCAAATTCATTGGGAGAATCAGAGAGAGAATTGTGGCGATTATCCGATATATCTGGGCAAAAAGTGAAAGCCCCGATTGTCTGGAATTTTCCCGACATATGAAAACCAGGCTTTTAAAAGCACCTTGCCGCACCTGTTTTGTTTATCAACACCGAACCCGAAACAACTTATCCCAAGTAAAGCAAGGCAACCAAAGTGATATTATTTTTTGGCCGCCTTCGTTGTCACTGTTGTGTTTTGGGCCCAGCTCCTTGAAAATTAGGCTTTCTGTAAGTCCGTTTTGGTTGGTTTATAGGTCAGGAGGGACTTCTAGCGACCATTTATTACAGCTCAAAAAAAAAATTCGGCTTGCGGGCAGGGTACTTAAGCCTAAACCAAGTTTTAAGCAATTACTGTCTTGCGAGACCCAGTTACAAGGAAGGTAAATGAATTTTAAGTGTGCTATTTTTGCGGGTAAATGAATTTTGGTTAAAAAAATTTAGACCGCAAAACAAGTTGCGTGTGTGTGTGTTATTTTTTCACGTTAAAGAATACGCGTGCAGTCAAACGAAAGATTTACGGGTGTGATAAATCGACTTTTTTTGCACTCTTATTACAATGGTGGAATAGCGCCTGTCGGCCTTTCAGCCACGCCCCGAACCTTTGGTTACGAGATTGTTGGTGCGACTGGACTCAACTGTTCCAAAAGGAGCTTAGCGCAATTCGAAGTTTATTCAGTACCAGGATTGCCATAGCAAAGTTTGACGTTTTACCTGGATGAGACAGTACCGGGACGCGAAAAACTCAGCCGTGATTGGCAGGAGGAATGAACAATCTAGCCTGCGTAGCTGGTTGGCGGGAGTGAATGGAAGGGGTGGGTGGGGAGGACCGAGAGGGGAGGCGAAAATATGACAGAAGTCGGCCTCTCTACGATATGCATATTTGAGATATCTTGAGATTTTTCTCCATATCTCGCCACAAACTTTTCCAGTTTAATTAGCATTATTTAAATTTACATTTATTACAGTATTTGCTAAGATTCTACCGTTAAAAACAGCAACGCTCTTTTGTTGCTTCATGTTACTGAATCTGGTTTCTTACGCAGCCGTCAACAGACTGAAGATTGGCTACTATAATATGTTCACGCCGGTGAAAAATACTCAGGGCCGAGTTGTTCAAAGCTGGGTTAAGATAACCCAGGGTTAGTGCGAGATTTGAATTCACATTTGAAAGCTTAAAAAGCATTTCAGTTTTAATTCTTTTTGTCTACTAGTTGATGATTGGAAGCTCTAAAAGGATAACAGAGAAAATTACCCGACAAAATGCTTCTGAACGCCAGAAAAAGAAACCCGGGTTAAATTTAACTCCGGGTTAGGCGCTAATCCGCTTTCGAACAACTGGGCCCAGATGATTTAAAAGTTGACCGGTTATTTCGCCAACGCGTTGTTTCGCCATCGTCCCTTTCGCAAACGGCTTAAGTCGTTTCCCTTACGAAACACAACGAGCGCTACACATGTATATACCTCGCTCTTTCAGCTATAATTCGTAAAAGTCTAATACATATGTGTATAACTCGTTGTTTTAGCCAGTGATTAGGTTAATGAAGTTGGGGGACTGACCTAGCACTTTTGCGAAACGACTTAATACGTTAGCGAACAGAACGTTGGCGAAACGACTTGTAGGCAAAACAACCGTAAATCATGTTCAGTGGATGGCAACAGAATCTGACAACTTATGAACGGGGTGTGGCCTTAATACTCAAATGTAATTTTATTTCTTATTTCGGCTTTTACACCACCAGTGGTTAATTTCTTTCCATTACGATATAAGGATAGTTTAAAATTGTTTTAAAACTAACAAGTTAATTTATAAAGCACGTTTCAGATCTAAGGTCTCTTGGGACCAATACGAGATGAAAAATAAAAGGATCAAGAAAAGAAACAAAGAAATCTTAGCAACCTATCTTGACACTTTCAAAATGGCAACGCTATTAGTATAAACTTTTTTCACGGTAAATTCTTTTTACAACTTAACACGTCAAATTTTGGCCGAGTAACGGCTTACGATAACCCCAATTACGATCTTCTTGTTATTTTCTTGTATAGATTCGTTCTTTCATTCTGTTTCGACGTTTTAGCAGACATCCGCAATCGTCGCTTTTAATTTAGAGTGTTTTCTCTCTCACACTTTGATTTGCTATCTGCAGAGGTTTTGACAGAGGAACCATTTTCTTGAGGATAACTGTAGAATTCTTTCGGCACCCTCTCTTGAGCTGGCATCAGAGTACTACAGTGTTTCGGTAGCCATAGTACTCGTAGTATCTGTAATGCATCAAACAGAAGAACAATATTAACAAATCAGGATATTTCTAGGAGTCTTGAAACAAGAAAGTAAGATAATGATGAATGCATGCATGTTACCCTGGAAATTCAGAACTGTGCACAACCTGAGCGTGCTTTAGTACTTTGGGTCCCTGAGTAAGTTTGCCGTCGCTGTCTAGAGCATGTGATGAATCTACCACCGTTTAGCTACGGGGCTTTAAACTATTAAAAAACACTCCCATGAACTTCTGATAGGTGTGTGTGTGCTGCCCAGGGTCTTAGACCCTGTTTACATGGAGTGGGGGACCCCGGTCTAGTGGGGTAGGTTTCTTTTGTTTTGTCCCTCAGAGCGTGAAAACAAAAGAAACCAACCCCACTAGACCGGGGTCCCCCTAGCCTGCGCGCAGACGAAATTAAACTCTGGTTAACTCCGTCTGCGAAACAGCGCCGAAATCCTTGTTCTGGACTTCCAGCTGCGTACCCAGATTTGAGTACGCGCCACGATTGGCCAGTTAAAAAAGGCCTTTGTTTTGTTTGTCGTGATCGCCAATCAGGTTGAAGGGAAATTCGAAACGCACTTCCGGTAATTCGTTGAGTCCGTTGGGGGTCCAGAACAAGGATCTCTGCGTTGTTTCGCAGACGGTACTAATCAGAGTTTAGTTATCGTCTGCACGCAGGCTAGGGTCCCCCACTCTATGTAAACAGGCCCTTAAACTCCGACCCTATTTAATTAAAGTTGAAAAAAACAAAAATTGGCACCCTAAGTAAGGCGGCGTGCAAACGGGCGCAACAACTCCCAACATTGTTGCGCCAACAATGTTGGGAGTTGTTGCGCGCGTGTTGGCAGTGGTGTGCAAACGGATGCAACAACTCAGTCCCAACAATGTTGGGACCTGCAGTGCATCGTGGGAAGGGTACAACCCATAAGTCTTTGTAATCCATGGGTAATGAGCGTGCGTGGCCCCATCAATGTTGGAAGAGCTGTGCAAACGGATCCAACATTGTTGCGCTACGCTTCGGCGATCACAGAACAAAAGAAATGTTGGGAGTTGTTGGCTGAAAAGTTTGACCGGTTTCAAACTTTGTGCAACAACGCGCAACAACATCCAACAACATGCAACATGGTGTGCAAACGGACGCAACATGTAACATCCAACAATGTTGGGAGTTGTTGGCCAACAATGTTGCGTCCGTTTGCACAGGGCTTAAGGCTCAAACCCGAAAAAGACTCCCTATTCGAGGGAAAAAACAAAAGAAAAGAATTTAACAGCTACACAACCTTTATTAAATCGCTTTCACCATTCTAACAGATGAATTGTTTCTCATGTAGCTGCACATTTACACACTTGTATTTTAGCTGATACAATTTGAGTACCCTATCAGAGGATCACACTGGGAAGACAATGCCAAAATGGGAAAAATGATACCCTTTTAAGGATTGAGATCCTCAAAAGCTATACCCTATAGGCCCATATATCAGAGATTCCCCCCTGGAATGAAAGTCATTCCAGTATCATGTTAATAGCCGTTTATAAAGAGTCAGGGAAGGCAGAGATCAACTCTAGGCATCCTTTTTAGGGAGGTACATGGTGATGTTTAAGAGGTGTTACTTTAGCCTACGTGACAGGCGCAAAAAGGGGAGGGGGAGGGGGGAGGGAGAAAGGGAAAAGGAAAGGGTCCCCTCTCCTTCTCCCGAATCCCCCACCCCTTTTTCCCTTCCTCCCTATCCCCTACCTCCTAGCCCTTTCGACGTCTGCTACACAAGCTGTTACTTAGGAGAGTCAGTTCTAAACAATTAATCAAAGTTTGCATATTCACCTGTTCTTATGTGAGTTGAGTGGAAGCGGCTCTTTTCTCTTCAGTTTTGGTTGTTTCTTTTTCTTCTTTGCTGCATTTTTAGCTGCTTCTTCTTGTTTCTTTTTTCTTAGCCACCTGTTACCATTAATCACACATTAGAATAAACTATAATTATCATGTAACCAAGGCCCAGTTCAAACGTCGAATTTCACATATGCCAAATTTAACTTAAGAATTAACTGCAAGTGAGAAGTGACATCTGACTCACTTAAATTCGACCTTTTCAAATTGAATACGACTTTGCCAAACCTGAAACTGCAACAGAGGAAGATTTGACTTAGGCTTGACATTTGATTCTGACGTCGCATTTCACATGTGTCGAATACAATACATTAATAATTATTATAGAATTGAGAAACTATTATCCATTTTGGATAAGTTGTTTTAGGGAATAGGAATATTTACAACAAATGGTGTTAAACTTGGCAACATTATATCCGATGTTTACATTAATCAACTGCGGTATTTACATGACTTTATTATTTCAGTCGACCAAAATAGGAGTTAAATTCAGCACATGTGGAATTCGATGTTTGAACCTGGCCTAGATAAAAATCTCACAAAACTGTAGACACAAACATGGCTCTATAATGGGCTAGAACAAGCTAACAAAGATGGACATGACAAAAATTAGTAATTATTTGGATGGGACTGAAAAGGCAATAATACTGGGGAAAGAAAAAATTATGTAAATCTTTGTCTATAATAGAAGTGCAAATTTGGTGCATTAGATAGTTTACAAATGAAAAGGTCCCCACTCAAATAATCAATCCACCAGTGACATTTCCGGTCTTCATAGCCAACAACATCACGGGTTGACTGACAGACATCCAGTAGCAGACATAACATCAATTGACCAATCAGGTCAATCACCAGATTTTGTCACTCACTTGATCACTGCGCGACCTCATGCAATATTGAAGCTTGCTTTGCTCACTTTTAGGAACTTATGAGAGGTCGACTTGTAGCAAGACGAGACTGAGGACAGAGGATTGAAAATTTGGACTACTGAGAAAACCTACTTAAGGCTTGTGTCATGAGGGTGAGACTGGAACCTGTATGAGTACTCGTGAGTCTGATGTGCTGGCCACTCAGCTTGTCTGCCCCAAGTCTTAACAATAATGCTCTGTTCCAAGATTCAACCCCTCCCTTTTGCACAATAACCCTTTAGACCAAAAAGGAACTCAAATACCTACTAAAGAAGCATNGCCTAGATAAAAATCTCACAAAACTGTAGACACAAACATGGCTCTATAATGGGCTAGAACAAGCTAACAAAGATGGACATGACAAAAATTAGTAATTATTTGGATGGGACTGAAAAGGCAATAATACTGGGGAAAGAAAAAATTATGTAAATCTTTGTCTATAATAGAAGTGCAAATTTGGTGCATTAGATAGTTTACAAATGAAAAGGTCCCCACTCAAATAATCAATCCACCAGTGACATTTCCGGTCTTCATAGCCAACAACATCACGGGTTGACTGACAGACATCCAGTAGCAGACATAACATCAATTGACCAATCAGGTCAATCACCAGATTTTGTCACTCACTTGATCACTGCGCGACCTCATGCAATATTGAAGCTTGCTTTGCTCACTTTTAGGAACTTATGAGAGGTCGACTTGTAGCAAGACGAGACTGAGGACAGAGGATTGAAAATTTGGACTACTGAGAAAACCTACTTAAGGCTTGTGTCATGAGGGTGAGACTGGAACCTGTATGAGTACTCGTGAGTCTGATGTGCTGGCCACTCAGCTTGTCTGCCCCAAGTCTTAACAATAATGCTCTGTTCCAAGATTCAACCCCTCCCTTTTGCACAATAACCCTTTAGACCAAAAAGGAACTCAAATACCTACTAAAGAAGCATCTTGGTTAAGACACAAAATGGAAATGAACTCTGCTAACAACTGATTACTGGTAACCTCTTCAAATGCTTAAACAGACCATACACGCCATCTGTCAGGTGGATCTCTTTGAGATACTTTGAAAGACCCATTTTAATACCTTATAGTGAATAGCAGGTTCCCCCGTCTCCTTACCAGCATTTAGAAGTACCTAGTATAGCTCACACATGATAAGGGTAAATAAGTTATGCTCCTTTCAGCAGCATCCCTGTAAAGTCCATCATACAGAGTATCCACCCCAGGATTTAAATATTTACAAGTTAGGAATAGATTAAGAAAAGTTAAGGCAGTAGGTTTCCATGGTTACCTTCTAAAAGCTTCATCGCAAAGTTGCCGATCTCGAATTGCATATTGGGCTGCTTCATCAGCTCTTCTCCTCCCTTCCACTTCTCGTAAAGCTTTGTCTTGTTTTCTTTTCGTTTCCAGCCATTCAGTATATGCAGTATTTGCCTCTTTAAGTCTTTCTACTTTCTTCTGTTTTTCTATATTTGGATCTGGCTGGTTTAACCTGGCCTGATGTGCTGCTTCTACTTTAGCATACAACCATGCCTGCAAAAAGAGGCAAGATTCAGTACTATACACTAGGATGCAAAGGAAGTCAGTTTTACAGCTTGCTCAAAGGTATGTGTAGCCTGCACATACATCAGCCATTTCTCCTTGCTGCTAGGGACATTACGCAGGGAAGATGCCTGTCTCAGCAACAGAAATTCCATGCTGATGACATAAATTAATGTTTACATATTAAACAGGTAGTCACGGAGTTCAAATGTTACTTTGTTCACTTTTATGTTTCTCCTGGTCGATTATGGTTAAGTTTTGCATTCTTCTGGGAGCGAGCTCCAGCAAAACTCAAATACTTCTAAAGAAGAATAAATTCTACTAACATTGACTGTTTTTTTGGCCATTTATCGAATTTACATTTCAGTTTTGTGGCCTTTTGTCTTTTGACTGTCATTCACAAGCAATAGTTGAAAAAAGTCAGTTCAACTACTACATCGACCAATCAGAGCTCCTGACCAGATTCTGGACAGATTTTACGTCAAGAGTATGGAATTTCTGTTGTGAAGCACAGATGTCTTTCCTGCAAAATGTCTCTCGCGGCAAGGAGAGATGGCAGTATTTGCAAGATAGCCTCTAATTCTAGTGTAGTGTTATCTATATTAATTATATAAATAGCCAGCATTTACTAGCCCAAAGTCATTTTAACTAGCCAAAAAAATTTTTATGAAATTAATTGATTACAGTTTTTCTGTTATTTGAACTCCCCCAGAAAACTTCACTTGCCTGTTAGGCAGAACAGAATTCACATGCCTGCCAACAAAATCCACCAAGCCTGGGCTATCGGACATGACCTTTGCACGCTGTTGTACCAAGCCAGGCTTGTCCTCAGGATGTTAAGGGTTCTTATAAATCAGTACTTTGCTCAGCTCATAAATAGCATTGGCTACAGTATACAGTGCTTCCTTAACTTTTAAATATATTGAAGGGAACTGCATGACAATCTATCTATTGTGTTTTAAGCATTTTCTGCTGGGTACCACCACATGAGCATGACCTCCCCTGGACGACATTTTAATTTGGAGCAACTTGAGAATACCTAGCCACCTAAAAACTTCAAACCATGGTCCGTCTATTAATACAAGCAGTTAAACAGGCTGTCACACCGCAGTTTGCAGTCCCAAAGTCACCGAATAATAAGTTTAGCAGAATGGCTGCCCATTTTAAACTGCAAGCTGGCTTAGTTGGCAGGGATTTGTTGATTAAAGAATGAGGTAATTATATATTACATGTATATCCCTTCACTGGACTGCAAACCATGGTACTGTGGTAGCAGAACTGATCTAGTGTTCCTGACTGCAGACTGCATTAGCAGGGGATGTTGGGGAAAATTTCGGTGGCCAGGTACAGTAAACCCACGCCTTGCAGACACCTCACTATTATGGAGCCCAACATCGCTAATACAGACAGCTTCTGAATTCCCGGCGAAAAATTACAGATATTTGACTGGAACAAACTCCCCCTATTACGGAATCTCGCTATTACGGACTTACAGACACCTCTCTTGGTCCCAACAGCACTATTTTATTGTTCTAACTCTCATTATAACAGACAAAAGCGAAGATTGATCATCGCAGTAAATTTTCCGATTTAAGCAATTGGAAAGAAGAAGCCTGAAAAAAATCAGGGCTTCAACGGGATTCGAACCCGTGACCTCTGCGTTACTGGTGCATTGCTCTACCAACTGAGCTGAAGCCACACATTGGGAGCGAGGTCAATTTATTGAGTTCATATCTCCGGTGAGGAGTGAAATGATGTGAAGTATATGAAATAATTCATCTTTGAACTGCGGTTGTAGATGAAAGTGAAGAATGATAATTGCAGTAAATGATCATTCTTCACTTCTCATCTACAACCGCAGTTCAAAAAAGAATTATTTCATATACTTCACATCATTATAACGTACATCAATCAGCATCTTTTGACATTTAGGCAGAATTATCTCAAATTATAATTTATTTCTTCCTCTTTTTCTCTTTGTCTCTGCCATTTTGGTTGAAAAGTGAACATATTTCTGATTCCAGTTTAACACGATCTTTCTAAGAAACTACCGTTGTGGTGAACAAAAGGGAGATGCAACTTCTTTTCTGTTACAATTTGTTTCATTTGCAAAAAAAGTTCTGATGCTCTTTAAATGCAAAAACTGCACTGCAATTGGTTCTGCAGACAATGTACAATATCCTCTAATATCAAGGAATTTTTTTCTCCCACCCTGTTATTACGGACTCTCGTTATTACGGACACTAAACCACGGTATCGAGGGTGTCCCCAATAATTGGGAGTTGACTGTATTGCTAAGTTTAGCCAATCATTTTGAACTAAATTTTGGTGAAAAATATATGCATTTCTATTCTTGCCTTAACTTTTCAAAATAGTGGGCACTCAGTCAAAGGAAAATGAAGCGTTTCAACCTAAAACGTCATTAAAAAATAGCACGACCTGAGGACCTCATATGGTTAATGATCTTGATGCATATTTGATTATTCAACATAAACGTAAGGTTTTTGTCAACAAAATAAGTGTTCAACACTTACAATTCAACGAATAATGTACTCTTGACACATCAGGTGTTAATAGATTTTTATACTTCAACTATAAAGAGTTCACCCAAAATTGCGCGACTAATCATGCCAGGGACGTCATGAAAAAGCCAATATTTCTTGTCGTGTTAACAGTACTGACGAATGTTCGATTCAAGAAGATCTGATCAGCATGCACCCACAGCTTCTACTTAGGTTTACTTATAAATTACATGTAATACGTTACTGAACACACACCTGGAATGCTCTATCTGCATCTTCTCTCCTCCTTTGCTGTTCTTCTCTTTCTCTTTCCTCTTCTTCTTTCTCTCTTCTTCGTTTCGCTTCCATGCATTTCCTTCTAATTTCGAGTTGTTGCTCAGTCATTGCGTATGGAGATTTAATATGAGAATATTCGTCGTTTTTTTGTCGAACAGCCTTCGCGCTCTGACTGCGAGTTCTTTCAGAACTTCGAGTAGTTCTTTTCTTTTCATTTCGTCGATGAAGTTCGTGCACTGATGTTGTTTTTGGTCTCGCTCTCGGTACAGGTTTTTCTTCTACCATGTCCTTTGAAATATTTTCCGATGCATCGCTCGCGGTTCCTTCGCTCTCGGTTTTTTCGGCCTCCTTACTATTTGCTGTGTCAGTTGATATCCCTAACATGTCATAGTACTCGGCTTTGATTTCACTCACATCGACCAGTTCGAATTTACCGTCACGTTCTATAAGAACACGGTCTCCAATCATTTCCATAGCTGGACTTTTCGCGGGTGATTCCTGAGAGTCTTCCATGTTTCGACTTTCCGGTGATTCACTCGATTCGCCTTGGGTTGCACGTCGTTGACTTGCTGAGGAAGATTCACCATCTTCACTCAATGTCACGCCATTTTCGAACGCTTTTCTGACTTCGTCTTCTTCAGACGTCCTTGAGTTTTTGACGTCGGAAGAACCGCCATATTGTCCATCTGATCCGCCTACTCCGTTTTGTAACTGTTCATTTTCGTTGTTGTCATCTTCCTGCATCATTTTCTCCATTTCTTTCTCGTCAATACTACTGTCTGAATCTGATCGCGTTCGAGTGAAATCTGTGTCGTTGGGTTCGTCTTCTTCTTCCGAAAATGATGCCCGTGTTATTGAAATCCGAACATTGCTAGGATTACGTGGATTAGCGTCGACTTCGTCCACATCATTCTCCATGGTTTCCGCGTGTATTCAATGAGTAATTCGTCAAGGTTTCTATTCTAACGACTAATCATAGGGTTGTTTATATTCCCCTTATTGTTCGTATCACCTGTAGCAACATAACGTTGTGCACGTGACCGCATAAATTTACAGTAACGCCCCACTGGAACTAATTTCAGCGGACACGATTTTAAGGTTCAAGATGTTGTTTAAGCGTCACGGAAAATCCCAAGATGTTCATTATCAATTCTCTGATACCAGGAGCCCATCCTGCTGATACACATTTCCCTTTTTGTCTATACTCTTGTTGCCAGAGGCGCCAATTTGAAAATCCAAGCTGTTTTAAATAACAGATGGCAGACTTTCCTTCTTTTTTTAAATATTTGTTTTCTTGCCAAATGCGTTTTTTCCAACGGCAGAAAAACTCGAAATAAATACACGCGATTTTTGCATTCACATACCATTTGTTGTTTATTTTATTTGCGTTCGAAAAGGGGGAGTAACTTACTACCAAGTTATCGCTGAAAAACTTAGCTCTCACACCAAGTGGTGGCATCAGAAAAGACTGCAAAGCGAGAAGCCTCACTGGACAGCAAAAAAAGTTTCTTTATTTTACACAGTCGTCATAGCTTAGCCTGCGAGCGGCAGACGTATCTGCTCGCTCATCGCCGCTGAGGGACCGCAGGCTACTTCCAGTTTTACTTCGAGGTTGACTGATATGGGATCTGTCGAATGATATGGCCTTGTTTAAAGCATGGTTACCTGACAAGAGTTGAACAAACTGACAAACTTGGAAATATCCCATCGATTTTTGCAAAAAAACAAAATGGAATAAAGATTTGTTTGCAAACAGAAATCTGCCTTTTTCCTCTCGAGGACAGGACCATTTTAATTTTGAGGGGTGGGGCGGGGGAGCTTATAGCTTGGGTTGAGAAATATAATATATGATAGCCTGCAAAGAATAGCCTACGTTACAGCCGGCCCATGCCACGGCAGCCACGCACTCAGCCGCTCGTCTAAAATATAACAAAGAGGGTTTAGAGCGTCGCAGGCAAGCAAAGAGACCTGGGGCGAAAAAATTCCAGCATATCTTACATCGAATCGGCGTTTGGAGTACTTAATGTACCGTTGAAACTTTGCACATAACATGATCATTGTTAGGGTTGATTTCCAGTGTCGCGTAATTTTACGTCTGTAAATGCGTAAAATTTATGTTCGCAAATAAAATAGAGGCGATGCATGAAAGGTCGCTCGTAAGCGTAAAAGTTAAACTTCGCCCACCTTCTCGTTTAAGCTCAGCCCTCTTTATCTTGTCTCTATTTTATTTACGCGGGATGGGCTCCTTATTTACGTGATTAAAATATACGTGCGCTAACGTGCGTACCCAAAACCGCGTCAGTGAAAATCACCCTTTACAGTAACAATCTGCTTGTTTACCTGTAGATCTTATTACAGCCATCATTTTTGCAAGTCAGCTGTTATTTTCTGTCAGCACGCTGGGTCCGCGGCAATAAAAACTGGACAAAAAAGTGGCTAAAGAGAGGTCGCGGCTAGACTAGCAACCAGGCGCTTTTCCCTGGCTTTGGAGGTGGGGCGGGAAAAGACCCTGGCATCGGCCGGTCACATGACCAACAAACACGCAGAATTTGTCGGTTGCATACGATCGCATACGATAAACAAAACATCGAAGATGGCGGGTAGACCAGAGTTTTTACCAGTGCTTCGCCGGGTGGGATTTTCCCTGAGTAAAGGCATTTTTTCATCGCTTAATTTTAAACCTTTTCAAGTAAAGTGTCTCGAATCTATCCTGAAAGGCCAGGATGTTATTGGAGTCTTACCAGCTGGATCTGGCAAGTCGATGCTATTTCACGGCTGTATCGCTCTCCCCAAGATCAAGAACAACTAAAGTTGCTCTTGTAAAAGCAACTTAGCACAAAGCCAACACAGCAACTAAGGAGGTTCGCGTGGAGAACCGAAACAATGGTCTTGCCTGATCACAAAGTGGCAATAACAAACAGTCTAAACACTGTTAATCTTATTCAAAAGCTGTTTTTAATACCAAGGAAGGAAATACGTGCTCCAGTCAAAAAACTCATGTTACCTTTAGAAAAACACCAAGCTGGAGTCTACTAAATCACAATGCAATTCTCAACTGTTGATGCTGCTTCAGTTTAAGCTGTACTTCATTCTTATATCACTATCCGTGATAAACTAACAAGCTGGCCCACAGCCCGGGCCCAGCGTGATACAACATTGCAGAAAAAGATTATGCAGATTATATTCACGGACTAAAGAAAAACGCTTAGTTATATAGATCCCAAAGGCACTATGGAAAAAACTAGAACCCTTAACCTTTTTCAACCGTGATAAAAAGCTTTACGCTTCAAAAGAGGTCAAAGAAACTGCTCTTGTATCAGAGGGTAAATCACGGCTGCATGCTTGCCTGCGTGCCAGCGCCGACCAGAATCAGAAACAACAGTAAATCGATATGTGTGTCGTGACCTCTCAGTGTGAAACAAGCGGCTACAATCACATTTGCTCAGTGAAAATGTAGAACCTTTCAGAGCATAATCTACCCAGCAGAGGAAAAAACTTATTGGAACAAGCAGCATTTTGGCATGAGGTAAAATTCGTGTAGGCCTACTACCCCCTTTTATTGTGGCTGATCCACATCCAAGCTTTCGGGTGGCATATCCTTGGACAGACGCTTCGACGGCTGATGCGAAGACGGTGAAAGTTCAACGCATCGCTTTACAGAATATTCCGAGCTTAGATCAGACGGCGTATTGTCTACATATACTGAAAATAGGCTGTCTTATATATATTGGCATCATCCTTCCTCTTGATAAAGGTTATTTTTATGGTCTTAGGAAATTTAAAACATTTCATATTACTAAGCAGACTACCAAACAATCTACTAATTGCTAATCTGAGTATTCTGCAGCTGTACTAAGGGATCTCTACACTGGATCTCTATTAGAATTCAAACCTATCTCGAATGACCTTTTAAAGCCCTTGAAAGCCCTCCGTTTCTCACTTATTTGTGTTCTTGGTGCCGGCACTGGCTGTATATGTCTTCTTCTGGGGGCTGGAATGGTTGGTGCTATAATATTATCTTCATAGTTTTGAACCATCTGCTTAACACTTTTTCTTGGTGTAGGAATAGGGCGTGCTTCTCTCCGTCTCCTTGGAGCGGGGATATGGCGTGCTTCTTCCCCCATATTAACAAAATTCTGGAGCTCATTCATTGTGATTCCTGATAGTAATCGTCGGACAAGTTCATTATGATTATTCATTATATTATTACTATACATTAAATCATCATTGGTAGAGGGGGGCGTAAGGGTTTGCGGTATTGCGGTATTGGGTTATTTTTGGTGCGGTGTTGCGGTAATTTTTGTTTCAAAGTACGGTATTGCGGTTTCCAGAGTCCAAGCGGTGTGCGGTAAGTTTAAATTTTATGTCGCGGTAGGCGGTGAAAAAATCGTTGTGTCGCGCTGATCTGCTTCTTTTTCATGACAAGAGGATACAAATCCTAAAAGGTCTCCCTAGCTAGCCTGCGAGACCAGCGTGTCTTCCTATAGTTGCACAGTCGGGGATCGTATATTGCGCAAACAGTCCAGACAAATCGTATGGCTTGTAATCTCAGTTAATACTTTATATGATTAACGACATTGACTTTTTTTTATCCAATGATACGTAAACATGTCGCATTTAATATTTATAACCCTATGGACCTTGTGGGAATAGTCAGCTTGGTTAACCTCCTTAACAATCTTACCGCCACTTTCGTGCCGGTCGTAAAACAATGGCGAGCGATCCAGAGGGTCAACTAAGTGATCAGTCAGATATTCCAGCAAATAGTGAGGTCAGTGAGGTCGTTATAAATTGCGTAGTGTCAAAAGATAATCTGTGAAGATGGTGTGGTCTAAAAATTATTACTCGTCCTTCTCGTTGTGCATGCAGGAATATAGAATGTACTAGTATTCATGTGTGCTTAGCCTACGTAGCATGGGGGCCCGGGGGGGATTCTTCCTTATAAGAGGCTAATGGGGATGTGCAGCTGGATGGGGTCGCATTTTCACGACTGGATTGACTATAATGGGGTCGCATTTTCAGCGAGTTACTAGAATGGGGTCGCACATTTTCTGCTCTTTTGAGGTAAGACAGTTCTTCATATTTACGATTACCAAACGTACCAGAATGTTTGTATTGTAGATGAAAAATAACGAAAAAGGAATAAATAATTTAGTAGGAGTCGAACCCGGCACCTTCGACTCGACGCGACTACACCTAACCACTACACCACAGAGACTGACTACATAGTCGTTAGGAAAAGTCTTTCATTTTATTCCTTTTCCATGAAACTTCCGCCGGCAAGATGATCGCCAGCCGCATTAACCGAGCTGTTGACAGTGAAAAAACAATGTTAACGCATATTCCATGGCAATAAATGAATGAAAGAACATAATTATGCTTTTCAAAACGCCGATACACGTCCTCGTCTGCAAAGTAGGACACAATACATATGTTTTGTTATCTCGATTTCCGCTGTTATTTTGAAGCGAATGGTCAAAATCACATCCATTTTCGGCTCATACAGTTTCTTGAGAATAGCATTGCATGACATTTTCTCACTTTCACATCAAGCTGGAATTTGTATATCCCCCGTGTTGCGGAGTCGAAGAGCAAATGCTCATCTTCTCGTCAGGTTTAACACCTGGACGAGTTAAAAAGGCTCTTGAATTGACATCCAATCCCCAAGTTAACCATCGTACTCATCTGAAAGACTCCTGCGTGTCTTAAAATTTGGTAAGACCTCTAACCGTGCTGTAGAAAATTTGCCACAAAGAAAACTCTAAGTCTGAGCAGCGAACGATGCACTCTCTCACCCACCGAACTTCCCCGTGTTTTTATTTGAGTTGTTCGTGGCGCAATGCACTCTGGTTAAATGCAATGCATTGTGGTAAAAAGTGTGGTTAATGCAATGCATTGTGGTAAAAAGTGATGAATTCGAGAATTCGTCGCCCCTTATATATTTCCTTTAAATCCTGATTATGTTGCTGCTCGCTCCCTTCGGTCGCTCCGCAGCAACTAGAAAACTCCTGTTGTATCATTTATGTAAACGTATACATGTAATGAACAAAGTTAAACGAGTGCGATGATCTTACGTTTATCGTACGCTTGACATCGACGCACCTTAATTTGGAAAGACTGACATAAAAGTATTACTTCTAATTGAAAGGAGGATTTTTAGAATTGGCAACGTCAACTTTTTCCCATTTGTAACTGCGGTTTCGGTATTTGGCTAAATTTTGATGCGGTATTGCGGTATTCTCGCGCTACTATGTGCGGTATTGCGGTATTCGTACCCCCCTTACGCCCCCTCTTGGTGCGTTTGTTTAAAACCCATGAGCGGCAGTCTACAGACTGTATAGAATGCCATCATCAAGGCATTAATAGGGCCAATATTCAGTACATATAATAATTCTAATATAAGATTTAATCTTGTATATACTCAAATTTATAATTACAGCCATCTTGATTTCCCTGTTTTATAATTATTTATTCCATCTCAGATCATGTTGATAATACCATTTAATTTAATTAATTCAATTAATACTATTCAATACCATTTAATTTGAAGTGCCCGTTGTGCCGCATTCATACTTTTATAGTGAGTCTCTTCTTTTGTACTAAGATTAATTGCTTAAACACACCTCCTATTTCGATAGTTCTTAGCCACAAATGAATAATCACGATTTTTAGCTAATTTTTTACAATTTAGCTGTTGAGTCAAAAGCTGTAAGTTGTATAAAATGAATTATCTGACCATCTCTGGAAGCAACATATAAATTATAGATTGGATGAACATAATAAGCGCATTTATTAATAACTAACTGTTTGGAAATATGGCAATTAACTTCTTTCCCTTGAAAATCAGAAATAGGGCCATTTTTTGCTTCTATCTGATTAGCATTATTTTCCCATTATTTCTATTACTCTCCATAGAGCTACTTATAGTATGGTAATATCGCCTATAAAAGGAAATGAAGTCGGACAACAGACCTTGGTAGAAATCCTGCAATCGATATGATCCGAGAGCAGTCTTTCAAAAATTTTGTTCAAGCAGGGTAGAACAGTATCAGGCCTGTAGTTTCGTTTATCTAATTCCTATAGAGAGCGAGCAGAAGTCTGTTCAACCCGGGGGATACGTCCTAGTAAACAGGCTAATGGGTATGTTCCACTGGATGGGGTCGCACTTTCACGACTGTGTTGACTATTATGGAGTTGCATGTTTAAAAGAGATTCTAGAATGGGGTCGCACATTTTCAGGATTTTGGGGGTCAGAAAATTAACGTGTGTGGGGATTTAATAATAGAAAGATTTACACCACAATAAGCTTCACAAACGAATCAGTTCATTTCGGGACCACCAGTTAAGAGGCTTTATAAGGCATATGCATAGACAGAAAGTGACTAAGTTGGGATTGTGCAAATTACTTTTTTCCCGGCACATACCCAAAAAAAGTTTGCCCCCCAAACGGGTTGTTCAACAAGTAAACAACGATGAGAGCTCCCCGTTGTCAACCTTGTTCCCAGAGCTTTTTCCTTAAGCCCTGGGCACGAGGTTGCCCTGTTGTACATGAGTGACTGAATGAGCGTCTAATGGTAAATCAGTGCGACTGGAACTGCCCTATTAAGCGTTTGTTTCCAAAGTTTAAAAATCCAGTGTAGCTTGAAATATGTCAAACAAACATTTTCCTGTTACTCCATGCCATACTAAGACATCACGGGGTTTCTTCAGTTTGACACAGGCTGTGTTAATTGGTGGTTCCTTCCTACGAAATTTGTTCATGTATTTCGGTTTCACTCCAGCTTTTTCTGCAAGCATACCAATGTAAACATCGTCGATTTTAAACCAGGGAACAACGTCAAATAACTCCACGAACAAATAAACCACATCAGAAGACAAGACAAATCCGTATCCAGCACAGAAGTCTGGATAGAATGTTTGATTATATTCTTCGAACGAAACTTTCCATTTTCCTTCTCTCTTAACGCGGTTCCTCTCATCGCATTGTCCCATGTATAACTTTGTTTTAAGGATTGCAGGCTTGGCAAGAAGTGAAATCAAACTTTTAACGTCAACAAATGTATCGTCGTCCATTTTTAAAAGAAACGAAAAATTACAGTACAAAGAAGCCCACTCAAACGCCATTTGTATCTTCAGGGTCTGATTCCAGTAACTTTCATAGTAGTCCGCGCGTATGAGGTCTCCGAAGGTTTCGCCTTCTCTCAACAGTGCTTCCGACTCCGTTCGGTTTCGCGTTTGAGCAACAAGAAAAACTGTTTTCCATCTCGGGTTTAGAGAGCTATCGACCCCCCAAGTTAGGCGGATATCTCTCCTTCTCTCGGCATTATAGGATGCGGAGGAGACCAATACTAGAAGAAAGTAGGGCCACCCACAGCTAGTCGTAGTTATTAGAGTTGTCTTGTGCTGCTTTAATTGTTCACTTGATTGTGTCGTTGAAAATATATTTGTTGGCGAACTCGCATTTGACATGACCATCGCCAGCTCTTGCAATTCTCCCTGATATTCTAGAACATGGTACAAGCGTAGAAAACTCAGCTGAACAACATGGGAAATATGCCACCACAGAAACCCTCCAAGTACTAGAAATAGAAAGAAGGTAACTTTCTTGAGAGTTCGTATGGGAACTAGCAACATGGCCCGCTTTGGAGGAATGCGTGTAGCAGTCTCCAACACCTGATGAAATGGAATCAAAAAAGTAAACAAAGAAATCAATAAATAATTTTCCGCAATTTAGCCTCGGCAGTATTTATAGCACCAATACTAGTTGGGGGGGGGGGGGGGGGGGGGGGAGGAGAGAAGCGCAGACAGTGCAAATGCCTGGAAACTAACTAGAAATAGTTGACACTACAGCTGCCCCCGTTCTGTATATTGTCGGTCAATAGTAGTATTCTTGCTCGTTGTGTAGCCGTCTTTGAAATAAACTGATTCATAATGAATATGTTCACACATATTCCATACGATAGGTGAGATAAATACAAGAAATACACGCAAGGTTCCATGCACAGTTTCGGTTCCATTTACACAGCTGATCAAAACGATTTTCAGTTTCGAGAATAGTTTATTCTAAACCATAAGAAAAGGTTTAATTAGAAGTTGAATTTTTCACTATTTCTATTTCACTTTTTACATTTATTTCATTTTATTTGCCGGAAAGTAGGTGAGATAAATACAAGAAATAAACGCAAGGTTCCATGCACAGTTTCGGTTCCATTTACACAGCTGATCAAAACAATTTTCAGTTTCGAGAATAGTTTATTCTAAACCATAAGAAAAGGTTTAATTAGAAGTTGAATTTTTCACTATTTCTATTTCACTTTTTACATTTATTTCATTTTATTTGCCGGAAAGTAGGTGAGATAAATACAAGAAATAAACGCAAGGTTCCATGCACAGTTTCGGTTCCATTTACACAGCTGATCAAAACAATTTTCAGTTTCGAGAATAGTTTATTCTAAACCATAAGAAAAGGTTTAATTAGAAGTTGAATTTTTCACTATTTCTATTTCACTTTTTACATTTATTTCATTTTATTTGCCGGAAAGTAGGTGAGATAAATACAAGAAATAAACGCAAGGTTCCATGCACAGTTTCGGTTCCATTTACACAGCTGATCAAAACAATTTTCAGTTTCGAGAATAGTTTATTCTAAACCATAAGAAAAGGTTTAATTAGAAGTTGAATTTTTCACTATTTCTATTTCACTTTTTACATTTATTTCATTTTATTTGCCGGAAAGTAGGCCTTAGAAATTAAAAGGACGTTTGATCAATTCACGCTCGCGCATTCTAGTCTTGTTTTAAACTTATATAGCGGAAGGACATCTGTGAGCAGGGAATAAGTCAGCACAGAATTTGATGGTCGGCGACTTTCTGTAATCGTCCATCGTTCTGCTAGTGATGTATGAGCTAGCCGTTGAATCATTCACACGTCTTGCTTGTTTGGGGCCGAGTCCTATTCCGCTCCAGGAAAGAGAAAGAGTGTCTGCCAAGGTTTCCAGTCAAAGATTTGTGACCTCATGTCTGGCAAACTCACTTGGTGTTAAAATATACACTGTTATATGCACCTTATATCTTCATCTGCGCTTAACGAGTGTCTTTTGGCCCATAACTTTCATAACAACTGCTCCACAGAATGTCACTGATAACAGGTAACGCGGAAGAGTATCGAAGTATGACTGCACAATTAATGTCACAAAATCTACCTATTGTAAGCAGTCCCTCCGGGATTTTTTGTTTTTTTACATCATCCTAACCATTTTACATTACCTACCGATTCCTCGCGTCCCCTGTTCAAGCAAATCGAGATTTTTTGTATATTGACTGTATGACTGTATATTTCAACTGTAAGTACTTTAATATACGCGCGAGTTACTAGAGTGCCTCCTCGGGATTTCGCCTTCTGGGCGAAATCCTTGCGGGGCAGTAATATAAATCAAATATAATGAGATAAGAATCTCAACTGGCCGGAGTTGGATATTTACAGGGGTGGTCGAGAATTCTAACTTTGAACTCGGGACTACCGAGAACAAATCGAGCTAGCAATCAGGGAGGGACCCCTCGAGACCTTTGAACTGTAAGTCCAGCGTTATAGCCTCTCGGCTACGCTGCCTCCTCTAAATAATCTGTAAGAAGAATAGGAACACTTCCAGTCAAACTCAAATAAGAGATCCGGAGACACGTCTAATGCAACGTTCAGGTGATACACAAGTAGCGTATAGATAAAATAGGTCTGAGAAATCAAACTATGTTGACCCAGCCAACTGTACCGCAAATGATCCCCGCCCGCGAATGATCCCCAAAATGGACCCCCAAATGATCCACGACTCCCTAATGATCCTCTACCTCACATGAACCCTTTATGGACTTCTGGCGTTCTGTCGGGCGTTGGGCAATTTGTTTTTCTCAGGTATGTGATTTCCGACCCTGCTAGGAAGATTTGTTTGAAGCTTTCCCTGCTACTGTAATTCAGCAGGGGATGGAAGCTGTGATAATCAGTTGGAATAGATCTAAGACACAGCATTGACTTGTGAAGGTCCTGTCCACTGAGATTTCACAGCCTTGTCTAAAATGTTTTTGACAGAATGAAGTTGTCACTCAATACACCCATTGGAATGGACGTTATGTTGATTGTAGCTTTTCCGCGCTCTAGCCTCAATGTTAGAATGCACAGGACACAGCTGACACTTTCGTAATACCTTGGTGAGCCTGATTTATCTTCTCTATGGTGTCATCTCTTTGTGATTCTGGAATAATCACTCTTTCTCCCTCGAAGACCTAGCCTCCCACGCAGGCGTTTTTAGGGGAGCTCGTTTTTCATCCTTGTGGGAAGGGATGAAAAACGAGCTCCCCTAAAAACGCCTGCCTGAGAGGCTATTGAGGACCAGACTGTTTTCAAAAGACAGTTCATCCCGGTAGGCCCAGCACTTACTCAGCACTGCAACTTGATTATGTTTTTAGGCCAGCCAGAGTAGAGCTGAAGTTCAGGATCAGACGAGGTGTCTTGCTTCAGTGCATTGAACTTCTCATCACGGAATTGCACTACTTTGCGTAGGTCCAATGACTCTTCACTTGGTAGAGGGTTTGGTCTTGAAATTTGGCGAGCAAAAGGCATTTCTGTGCCAGGTTTGTACTTGACAATGAAGTCATATCCTTGTATTCTGAGCAACATTCTCTGGAGCCTTGGGCCGGCTGGACATCTGTAAGATTCTTCAAGTGAATCATCTCAAGAGGTTTGTGATCTGATCGACTCTGCCAAACAAGTACGAGCGAAATTTCTCACAAGCAACAACAACAACAGCAAAGCATCTCGCGCTCAATATTTGCATATCGTTTCTCGGTGTCTGTGAGTGCTCTGGATGAGAAAGAAACATTTTTGAATTCTTCATGCACTTAGACGACTGTTTCCTTTTTATGATCAAAATACGTAAGTGAGACTTGAAGATGAACTTTCACGATATTACATGAGTTCATTTTGACCCAGTTCTTGTTAAGCCCAGGCTTAATTTTATGGCTTAATGGCAGCTACGGCTTTTTTTTATCTCCTCTTGCTGTTTTAGAAGGCTACTGAGTTTGGCAAAGTTTTGATATCGTTCTGTATTAAACGGTCCCCACATTCAGTGTACACCTTGTATTAAGCAGACGATAGCTCAGTATGTTCTAGGCCCGGTTCAGACGCCGAATTTTTCATGAGCCAAACATAATTCGAATTCAGGCCGACCCAGATGATTTAGACCGGCTGAACTGATTCAGACTCCGATCTTAATTGCAGCTGAACTAAGTTCAAAAGGCGAAAAATGCTCATTTCCGTCAAACTGCTTGCAAAATACGTTATAATGCGTTATAATACGTTATAATGCGATAGGTTCGGTACAAAGCCTTTCCAAAGTCGCTCCATAGGCGAAATTCTCGGCCGAGCTAGGCGAAACTGAACGGCTGAGCCGTTACAAATTGAAACAGGCGTTCCTAAGAGACCTTGTCACTGTTTTCGACGCCATCTTGACGAGTAGGCAAACTCATGAGAAATTACAGTGTTGTATGAGAATCCAATGTCGAGTAATTTCTGTAAAACCGCTGTTCTGGAAAAATATGAACTATAAACTAAAGCTACACAGCAAAGGATTTTACCAACAAATTTTGGGGGCCGTTACTGCGCTTAAATTTCTCCAGAAGCTTGCTTTAGATTTTCCATATATTTGTCGGCAATTTTTCCCCGGAAATTTTTACAGACAAATGTATTAGAAAATTTTAAAAAAAGGTTCTAAGTCTTCTAGGGCATGTAACGCCCTCAAGTTTTTTAAGTAGAATCCTTAACAGTGAAGCATTAGTTTACAGTTCACATATTTTTTAAAACAGCCATTCACGGAAATTATTCGACATTAGATTCTCATACAAACACTGTACTTTCTCACGTCTGGTTTGCCTACTCGTGAAGATGGCGTCGAAAACCGTGACAAGGTCGATTGATTCAGCGCCGAACTTTTCATGTACTTAATTCAATGTATTGGGTTCGGCTCATGAAAAGATCGGCGTCTGAACCGGGCCTTAGAGTTGTTTGCTCTTCATAACTTGAAATTCGTATTCCTCCTACTTCAAATCCCATTCAGCTGTGTTTCTGATGTTTCTTTATATTATAGTAATTTGGTCAAAGCACAGCCTTAAAGCGGTCTTGATTTTTTTCTTTGTTTTCGAGATCGTAGAGTCGTTTGATAGCTTTACGGAGACCCTCTGACGCTCTGTAAGCGAAGTTACCTGAGGAACAGTTCAAATCCCTGAGCGGCGAGTTTAAGATAAGCCCATACTGACCTTGTCCGAAAGAATGAATCCTTGGGAAGCAACTTTGTGGTCCCCTGCCAAGGCTGGAAAAATGGAACTGAGTTTATCGCGTGTTTTTCGGCTGAAATATCATATCATGAATTGTCGTGATGTTAACTGATGCGGAAGAAGAAGGTTCATATTGAATACAGATTATTTGTCTTATCGAATACTAGTATCGAATAGAACTCCGTGATTATTTCATTAGAATGTTTTTCTCTCCGGCCTTTTGTGGTTTAATATTGGCACATTTAACAATTACTCGTCGAGCCCGAATGGGCCCTGAGTCAATAGCCCATGAGGCCGAAGGCCGAATGGCCTATTGACTCAGGGGCCATGAGGGCGAGAGGAATAATTGTTTTAGTAAAATCCCACTAGTTGGTCAAAAATATCGAGAATAAAAAAAATTAGCTAGTTAAAGCTAGACTTTAATCCTTTTTTGCTGCCAAAAAGCACGCGCTTTTCGCTACTAGTGGGCTATAACATATAGCCTCGTAATAGCTCAACCAATCAGAACGCAGCATTGATAACAGACCACTGGTTGGATTTTACTAAAATGGGGTTATGCACCAATGATTGTTTTTTCATTTATTCCAGAATGCACGTGGTGGTCACTGGTCAAGGGTACGGGAGATTTTATTTTATTGAACTCCCACTAAGTTTTGTCACGTTCATGACTTGTAAATAAATCTTTTTTGACCACACGGGGCCAACACAACAACAACAACAAGTTTATTCAGTATTACCATTTTGTACAGGCGTTACCGATTCAAATAACAATAATAAACAGCTAAGTTTAAGGAAATGCAGATATGATTGAACGGTAGAATTAACTATGTTTCTTTCGTCTTTCAAATGCTTGAAAGATGAAATTAGCAGCTAGCCTGCTGATATGTGAATCAGTATTGTTAAAAAGAAAACAGACTTTATCATGGATATTGTCAGGTGTAAATAATGTATTTCGGTCGTTGATTTTAATGAAAAGAGTCTTTCGCAAATCATTGAATTGATCACAGTGAAATAATATGTGCAGTTCATTTTCAACCGAATTTTGGTTGCAATGATCACAGATTCTAAGGTCTTCAGGAGCTTTGGGGATTGTAAATCTTCCAGTTTCTATTTTTAAATTATGATTTCCTATCCTAAATTTGGAAGCTACACGCCTATGTTCAGGATTCCAGATATGATTGATGAATTCAGAGTGATTTGTTTCATTTTTAAAGATGGAGTAGAATTTTAGTTTTTTATTTGTTCTTATCAAATTTAGCTGGTGGTTTTTCAGATGTTTTGACAAATTATTCTCATCTTCGGATTGGAAAGTAGAAGGGTTTTTAAAGTTAACTGACTGTTTATGAATATTAAGTTGTGTGCTCAAAAGATTTATTTTTTTTATTAGACCTGATTTATTTTCTTCGGCCATTTTATCCGATATGTTTAAGCAGAGTTTAGCAATGCTGTCAGGGGGTTGATTTTCAAGGTGAATCCAAAATTTGAAAATGTTCATTGTTATTTGTAAATTTAGAGATAATCTACCAAGTTCATTTCTCGATGCAACATTCGGTGAACGTTTGTTTAAACCTAAACACATCTTACAAAAATGTATATGCGTTTTCTCAATCGAGTCTTTATCCCAGCGGCTATAATCACTTTTATCATAGATTCCCCAGACTTCAGAGCAATACGTTAAAATTGGGAAAAATAGTGTATTGAACAGTTTGTTGATGAGGTGAATTGGTAATTTTAGAAAATCTAGATAACGACGAGCGGCAAAAAAGGATCTCTTTGTTTTTTCTGTTAAGTTTTCCTTGTGATTTGTAAAATTTCCATTGGCAGAAAATTTCACTCCAAGATAGGTATAGTTATTGACGATTTCAATGTTTTCATTGCTAACCATAAAATTGTGTTTATCTATTGCTGATTTTCTACTTTTCTTCTGAAATACAATAACTTTGGTTTTAGTTGGATTAATCTTAAGAAGCCAATCCTGACAATATTTTGAGAGTGTGTCAAGACTTTGTTGCAAACCTTCTGCAGAGGTAGATATTAGAAGTAAATCATCGCTATAAAGTGGACAGTTTAAGTGAGAACTATCTGGTAGTAAGATAGAATCTTTAGCATTGTTATTTAGAATCTGTTTTTTATAATAAATGTACTGGATTTAGCGTTTGCTTCATCTATGGCGGTATATCGGTAAAATGTGCATGGATCAATGCTAAAGAAAGGTTGAGTTACCTTAACCTACGGTAAGTTGTCGTCCTTTTGCCTCAGAAGTGGTATTTTGAGCGATTTGAAGGATTTTTAGTTCACTATCTTGTCTTTTACTTTTCGATTTTTCTTCTTCCCTCTTTTTTCGCTTTTCTTGCCTCATTTTGTTTTTCTTTTGCTGGGAATTTAGAAGGCTTTATTTTGGTGGGAAAATGTTTTAGGAAAGCTTTTAGGATCTTAGGATTAGATGAAAGGAAAGGTAGGTGGGTAGAGGAACAAGATTTTGATGGAAACTTTCTGGTCAATGTTACATTGTTTTTTACCTTTTCCACGTTGTGCTTGACTGAATTGTCCTTATTCTGGTATGGTTTGAAAGATCTCTTCACTCTACACAAGTCAGCGGTCAAAGTTGTCCTTGACCATTAAAACTGAAGACGTCACAAGCGGTAGAAGGGACGCGGATCTGCACGGGCGGTCACGGGCGGTCACGGGCGGCTCAGGGGCCAATAGGTTAAGTTTTGTTTTTGAAGTAGAATGTCGTCCCCATCCACATACAGTCCTGAAGTAGTCTTTTTCACTTTTTCCCACCAAGGATGAGCCTGATTGAGCAAATTAAAATTGCCGTGACACGAATAGAAATCCGTGAAATAAGTTAGAAAAAGAAATAAGAAGAATTAGAAATAAGTTGTTAAAAACGGACTGCGAGAAACCACAGACTTCCGTCGAAATTATCAACATAACGCGAATTTTAATTACTCTCAGTTGACACTACACAAAACTGCCAAAGACTACAGTTTATACAGATCATTTTGAAATTCAATCAATCAATCAAAGCTAAACCTTAGTTTATTTTCAAGCGATAGTTTTCAAGACTATAAAACTATAAACTTTACAAATGAGAACGGTGATCATTTAGAATATCTCAATAGGTTTTCAAGGTTTCAAGTTTATTTCACACTATTCAAATTGATACAGTATAAGATGGCTTACAGAATCAGTAGGTTAACAAATAATGAAAAATAAATATAATGATATGCAAGTTTGTTGATATGTGCACAGTGACCAAAGTAGCCGAAGCCTTTGTGTTGGTCACTGTCCCATTTAAGTAAATAGAGGAGTACAAGATATAAGTGTGTGGTAATAATAAATTAGGCTATGGAGAATACTTGTTTATATAGAATTTTTTCTAGACTTTTTGATACAGTGTAATAAAGTACTTTATTAAAGTTTATAATTAAAAAAAAAGAGAAAAAAGGAGAATAAAATTACCTAATTATATATTAGTATTCCTGCGTTGTTCGAAGAAGTATCGAAGTATGACTGCACAATTAATGTCACAAAATCTACCTATTGTAAGCAGTCCCTCCGGGATTTTTTTGTGTTTTACGTCATCCTAACCATTTTGCATTACCTACCGATTCCTCGCGTCCCCTGTTCAAGCAAATCGAGATTTTTTGTATATTGACTAATCTGCACGGGCGGTCACGGGCGGTCACGGGCGGCTCAGGGGCCAATAGGTTAAGTTTTGTTTTTGAAGTAGAATGTCGTCCCCATCCACATACAGTCCTGAAGTAGTCTTTTTCACTTTTTCCCACCAAGTATGAGCCTGATTGAGCAAATTAAAATTGCCGTGACACGAATAGAAATCCGTGAAATAAGTTAGAAAAAGAAATAAGAAGAATTAGAAATAAGTTATTAAAAACGGACTGCGAGAAACCACAGACTTCCGTCGAAATTATCAACATAACGCGAATTTTAATTACTCTCAGTTGACACTACACAAAACTGCCAATTAACTTCTTTCCCTAGAAAATCAGAAATAGGGCCATTTTTTGCTTCTTTCTGATTAGCATAATTTTTGCCATTATTTCTATTACTCTCCATAGAGCTACTTATAGTATAGTAATATCGCCTTGAATAGTTTATGCTTCCAGGAAAAAGTAAGAGCCATAATATGACTCTTGCTTGCAGGAATTCCCATCAAAGTGGACAAGAAATAGAAAATCATTTTTGCACCACCCAAAATGAAATTTAAATCGAATTTCACTTTGACACCCCTCAAAATAAAATTGAAATTGAAAATCACTTTGGCACCCCCAAAATGAAATTGAAAATCGTATCCAATTCCATGAAAAGCCCAGTCGGCCACTTCCAGGAAATCCGAAGGTCAAATCCCAAGGTCAGACCCAACACAAAACCCAAAAATAAAAAGTGGGCCCGTACCCTCAACTCCTATACGTCCAAGGTCAAATCCAAAAAATGCTAACGTCTGCAAAATTCCAAGGTCAAGGTCAAACAGGTATAATCCTTTCGACACAAGAGAGGATAAAGGGGACAGAGAAGGCATCCCCCATCCACACACCCTATTCCATAGGTAATTCGTCTCGAGTTATTTTTAGAATCGGGATAAAGTTACCTCGCGCGCTGCGTGGATGTTTCGTGGAGGTTTCGCATGACTAAACGCCATGCAAAACATGTCAGGCGAAAGGCAATGAAAGCGAAAAGAGATCGAGAGCATTTCTGAATTTTGAAGCGAAAGGAGTCGGCGCTCACCTGGGAAAAGGGAATCGCTCGACTCTTTGACAACCCGTGAAATCAGTTTAACTCCAAGTAATCGTAACCTCAGTGCTTTAATAAAATGAGAAATTTCGCCGGTCTATTGAAGCCGGTCGTTTGTACAATAAAGCAAGTAGCAAGTAATATTCATGTACATATAATTAGTTTTACAAATTTGAATTTTATTGTAGTTTTTTTAAGTTGTTAAACGCTGTTGATCAGTGAATGTAAATAGCCCTCTAGAAGTTATTAAATTATTATTATTATTATTATAGGACGCCAAGTGTTATTTTTGTTGAATGATAAAAGACTAATAAAAGAATAAATATCAAACCAGAAATTGCTCTCTTCAAACTGTAAATTTTCAATGAACTTGAGAGAATATTCACTGTGTTAAGGATTTCCCTGCTGTACTGTTAGCTCTATACAAGAGAGGAAGGGCGATTCCTTTTTAATTTCCGTTTCGCGGACACAGCTTTAGCAGAAATCTCTCTTTAGTCGTTTTCGTCGACAAAACGAATAGCAATATTGCTCTCCGCGTCTTCCGCCATTTTTTTTCTGCCTCAATTCATGAAGGACGCGTGGCTCTGAGCGTGGGTCATCCACGCGGAACACATTCGCGCTATGTGATTGGCTGTTGTCTAATCCCCCTTGGGATCTGTGGTCTTAAAAATAACTCGA